AACCCAGGGATGTTTAGTTTAGTGCGGAAGAACAAAACAGACTGAATGCTTTTAGGGTCTAAAGGCAGACTTTTGTGGGGAACGATTTATTATCTGTAAAACGCTTCCTTACAAGATAAAAAACAAAAAAATTTGTCACGTATTTAAAAATGCGTTTAAATTGGACGCAAACTTCTTACTATAAAAAACGTAGTAAACAAAGAGAAAAACAGTAAAGACGCAAATGTTTGAAAGCAATAACACTCAAAAAACAAGCAAGACACTTTTTGATGAGAGCACCAACTGCTGATCAAAAACCAAAATGATATCACCGCAAAATATTCCATATATATAAATTAAATTCAAGAACTTTTGTAATTAGCTAAGTTTGAAGACCGTACAAAGCAATAAAGCAATAAAATAAAAGAGGAATTACACAAATGTACACAAAAGTACACACACATTACGACCACACCGCGCTTGCATATAAACTAATCGACGTTTATCGACATCTTTAAACTATAAATCATGCGAATCATATGAAAAATCAGTAAATTAGTTAAATTGTCGCAGTTACATCTATTATATCTATTATATTTTTTGGTAAATTTTTGTTTAAATAAAACAAAACTTGTGAAATAGAAAATACTCACCAAAATCTAATCAATATTAGCTTAATTTTCACAAATTCATTGACTTAGAAGTGTATACTGCTGAAAGTGTGATCAGCTTCGAGATAACTTGCCTTGTGAAAACTTATTTAATTTTCTTGCGAAAAACCCCGTAAATCCGAACATTTGTTTGGGAGGATTTGAAAGATCAGTAAAAGCTGTGAGTGTTTAACGTCCTATTATAACTTCTATAGTGGTCGTCGTTGCTTGAGATAGGGTCAGGGCACTGCCTTCTAGAGATTTCCCTTTATTTGTTTTATTTATTTTAATTCTACTTATAAATGAAACTCAACTAAACAAATAACAGTCGAGTTCAATTGGCACCTAAAGCAAAACTTATATTAAATTAATAACAAAACTTAGTATAAGTACAATAAAACAAATAAGAAGGAAAAAAAAAGAAAAAAGCATGTACACAATCAGTACAGAGCCACACTTACAACCGGTACAGGACCAAATTGCAAATGAACCCCTAAGCCATCGCAAACATGCATAAGCTTGGCAACCGGTAATACTAACAAGAATTTATTTTCGAATCGTAACGAGTTTTAAGGATAGAAACTAGTTTAAGTAAAACGTAGGTAAATCGCGCTTATTAATCAATGTTGCTTTAATAGACTTTAAAGAGTCCGATAACGAGAAAAAGTGATAGACGTCATTTAAGTTCTTGCAAACTACTCTGAGCGGATTAAAGAGCTCATAATTATAAATACGCTGACTAAGCTTAACCAAGATAAAGTGCCTAGAGAAGCGGTTAGGGACATTAAGGCTTATTTTACCAAGTAATAATGGCGAGTCAATAGCCCCATTTATTACTTCGATTACAAAGGAAACGCCGAGAACAAACCTACACTTCTCAAGAGAAGGTAAGGACAGCAGAAGCAACCTATTTTTATAGGATGGAAGAGAGGCAATCGGATCCCAACCCAAATTCCTAAAGGCAACCAGCACGACTTGCTTTTGAACAGATTCAATTGAATCTACATAGCACCTATATGAAGGAGACCACACAATAGTGGCATACTCAAGTATAGGTCTAACCAAACACATGTACAGTCTTTTCGTAATGTAGGAATCATCAAACTCTTTGGTTCACCTTTTTATAAAAAAAAGCGCGGACCTAGCTTTGCTTATCGAGAGCCCAATATGCAAGTTGAAATGTAACCTATGGTCAAATAGAACGCCTAAATTTGTAATCGAATCGACGTCCTCCAACTTATGCGAATTAAAAAATATTGTGAGTGATGAATGACTTTCGTCTTGAGGAAGAAAGCTTCTTACATCAGCAATACAATATTGATTTTATGAAAATCATAACATTTATTTAAAAAAGTTTAATTTGGCGCATTAAGGCAGTTCAACGGACCATCATTCTTATGATGAAAGGAAATCCACATTGATGGATGATAAGGTTCCTCAGGTAAACTAAAAGGTGGGCAACGATTTACGTTAATCTTGGGAAAGTTGGCAAAGCAGAGATCAAGCAGTCTACCATTACAATTAGAGGTACGATTATTTTGCACCAGATTATGATCAAACAATTCATTAAAGAACACAACAGCCCTATCAGACGTTGAAGTAGGAAGCAAACAGCCAGAATTATCACTTTTACACCAAGTGACTTGAGGCGAATTGAAGTCACCCAATGCAACGACCAAATCGTTAAGTCTAGACCGCTTGGCCACTTCACAAATGAGGGCAGCGTGTTTCCTGTAAATGGAGATATCAGAATTTGGGGAACATAGGAGCAGGTTACAAATAGCTCTTTATTAGGCGTTATCGCACGAATTGGGATAAATTCAACGTCAGCAGAAGTGGGAAATTCTATTGAATTGGACGGGACTGACGCAGATATGGCAATTAATACACCACCACAAATGCGTTTCACTCGATCCTTTCTAAAGACTTGGAAAGAATTCTGAAAAAATTTCGACGAATGAAGATCGGGTTTTAGCCAAGTTTCGCTGAAGGCCAAACAGAAAAACTCCGTGCTCACAGAGTTTATAAAAGTAGAACGAATTTTTGAATTAAGGCCCCTAACATTTTGATAAATGAGAGATAGAGTAATACGGCGACGTTCTCGAGGGATAAATTCCTTAATCAAGGATCCTACTGGCCACAGTCGTTTGTCTAAAAACACATCACTGTTTTCAGTTGGAACTAGTATTTTAAAAGAAGAGATTTCCCTAGATTGAGAAGGAGCCATTTTGAAAATGCTAACGCGCTTTAAGTTGACTGATGGGACTTTCGCCGCCAGATAGCTTTTTATGTTATCCACTGATGTTTCAGGTGCCAGTCTTGACCCAAATATTGCTTTTCTGGGAGGAACTGCCGTCAAGGAAATGTCATTAGTTGAAACAGGAGGGTTCACGGTTGGGGAGTTTAGAGTTGGGGCGAATATAGATGGCGTTATCGCCCTTGCACCAGCAGCTTATGCGACTTTGTCAGTCTAGTGACCAACGTTCACATTCGAACAGCCAAGGGGAGAGGATGATTTATTTTTCTCTTCATTATTTTTAGGCGATGGCGCTTGACTAGAGTGAGTGGCGGCCCTGGGCGGAGATACCCTTGCAACTTTAGCGTAGCTTAAAACGGAAGGACTTGCCGGCTTGTTTGTAACTATTTTGTTACCAACCGACTCAACAATATCGTTAACATTAACGTACATTTTAGAGTTAGAGGGAGCGGTAACCTGTACCAACGAAACGAATTTAAAGGAACTCAGAGGCGACGTTCCACCCAGAAAAAAATTCAAAAGAATCCACTACACTAAGTTTATCTACAACTTTAAGAAATTTAATACAATTTCTCCGTTACCTTGTCACTGTAACAAGAGAGCAAAAGAACAAGAGAAAGCAAAACCAACCTGGAAGCAAGAAAAAAAGAGAGAATACAAATCAGAAAAATTTTCTCTTAAATTTTCTCTTAATTACACGTAAAATCTACACTACTGAAGCAACGGTGAACAAGCCAAGAAAAAAGCTATTCACACCAAAGGAAGAAAATAAAAAAAGAAAAAAACTCAAAAGAAAAAAACTAGAAAAGACTCGAATGAGATATACTATTGCTCTCGCAAGTGCTAATCGCAAGAACCAAAATGAAAAAAACAAAAATTTTAATGTAATTAATGTAATTCTTACAAGTGTAAGTTACACGATCAATTCTTTTATACTTTTACAAGTAACCAGCTTTAAACGCGTATAAAACGATAAGAAAAAGATTTTAGACAATAAAACTAACAAAAGCGTACGATCTCGCGCGCGTCAGTTGCCAGACTTTGTACAACAATATCAGACATATAAAAATTACACCAGACTAATGGTCAAGTGAAGTTAATTAACCGTAGTTTAGAAACAACAATAACTAATTTAACGAGTGCAGGGAATAATTATAGTTTCGGGCCACTTTCCCCGGTATACAGTTTGCAATGAGCAACGCCATCCGTAGGAGGACCAACGCCCCATCAAGGGAGCATCTGACAGAGCATCTGATGTAAGACAGAAGGCTGACCTTTTAAAGGACTGGAAGTCATAAACGATATGGGAGCCGGAAGGAACCTAATGAACCTACAGAAATCCATAGCGGAGACGTAATCAGATTGTAGTCAGGGATTGAGACTCCGTAGTCGCAAAACCTACAGTATTATATAAATAATATATATAAATATTGTCGATTATGTGGTAGTTAAAACTCTTGAGTGCTCGGGGCTGGTAAATAGATTATTTCAAGCATTAAAGGTCCCTATTAGAAAGCTCTCCCAGATGAAAAAGGTGAAATATGTGAATGGAGTCATTGTAAGTCAGATCCTATATTAAGGATTATGCAGAGCGCGTAAAAATTAATATTTTTGTCGATTGATAGTAATATCTGGAAGATTTTAGATTAAGCGCAGCCATGAGCATGAACGGATAAATAAAATGAGACAAATATTTCTTATATTGGATTCTTAGAACCATATTTTTCATCGAATTATCATTACACTTTGTTCATGGACAGCCACATTTATAAATCTACGTATATAGAAGTCCTGCAAGGTCTCCGGCGAGAAAAGCTTTATTTTGAGTTGCCGTTACCGTAACGGAACATAGGAATGACATGAGATATTCAGGCCCCACTGGAAAACTATGACGGTATAACTGTTATTGTTCCCAGGACTTTCTTATCGAAATCGCTTTCCGATTACTTCCACTTCGACTGTGTATTCGACGTGTATGCTCTTTTTTACATTAGAATATACAAACATGAATGAATAACCAGTAAATTCTGCTTATTTTATTAATGGTGTTTATGCGCATAAATTAGGCGAATGCTGACATTTTTTAATGGTTTTCTTTTTCCTTATTTTTTCAGGATTTTTTACGGTTCTTTCGCACTTTGCGCTAAATAGTTTTGTCATCGAGTCTCAGATTTCTAAATAAATTATAATACCTGGAAGCGGATATAAGAACAAATATGAAAAATGGAGCAAAACAGGCCGCATACATTCTAAAGAGAATTTTCATTTGTAAAGGATTTTTAAAGTTTTCCATCCGTGGAATTCTTGGTTAAAAGCTATATTTAGAGATATATGTAAAATATGTTAACTAAGTAATTAGCATCAGGGACAGAAAATTAAAATATGGCAATGGTAAGTAATAGTTCATGAATGTATTGATAATTAGCTTCTATATATATATAAAATTTTTGGAAATATTAATAGATATACTTTGAGCTTCTTGAAAAAAAAACTAAGGCTATAATAATTTTTTTAAAAACATATTCCTAAAATGATGCCTGAAAATAAAGAAAATAAATACAATTTTTTGAAAAAAATAACATAATTTCGAATCTAGATCATCTATTTTAAGAAAATCTGTATCCGATTTTGCTCAACAACAAGCACGTCAACTATAGAAATTCAAATTCAATTTCAAATTTTCGCTTCTCTCTAGACATTTTTGTGTTTGTGAGCAAACTGAGCTAGTTATTAAATCAGCTTCGGTACAAAATTCCTGCAGCACGTTTTGCGTTTTGATGATCCATTATGAACCATTGCTGAAAAAGCTAAACGACCGGCAGGTTTAACCAAACCGACTTGAAATTTCATTATTCAACATTGGTATGGAATCTCAAATTTGTATGGCTTAGCGTCGGAAACAAATGATGAACATAGAATACGGCAAATTAAATGATGTTAAAAGAAAATAATAATAAAAAAGAAAAAGCAATATCAAACCCAAACAGAAAGTAACACCTAAGCTCGGCTACAAGTTGATCATCTTCTAAACAGCTTAATATATAAGGACATAAATGTGAAAGTTTAAACTAATGTTAATCAATCCCATTAACACAATTTTACCATAGAAAAGAAAAAAAGAATGAAAAATGTAGCTGAATGCTTACGAAGAGGCACTAAGTAATGGCGAAAAGCGAAAACGAATTTATAAACCTTGTTGCGCAAGCAACGTAATAAAAGAACGAAATACTTTTTATAAATAGTTAAAAACATCAAGAAGACATCGCGTTGGGAAGCCAAGAAATACCTTTAATATTCTTTAGAGCGTACGTCAGTTTGTTGAATTTGCTGTTTGTAATATTCAGCCATGTTATAATACTTTTACGGGGATACACGTATGTAAGTTGCTTCACTTGTAAATTACTAATTGTTTTTATGCCCATGCTCAATATAATGTACTACTTTCCTTACCATTCTTCAAAATAACATCTTTTTTGAATTCATTACCCCAAGAGATCAAGTCTTGTATGAACCGTCCCAGCTGAATTGTAATTCCCTTTATATTACCTTTTTCAAAGGCTTTCTCCATATTTCGCTTAGGCCATTTTGACAATTATTGTTTTTGCCCATCTTTTTTATTCTCTCATTTTGGTTAAAGAAAGCAAAAATTATTATTTGCGCGATTCGTTTGTGCTTTTTTAGATTGGGTACATAAATCAATCTTTAGATGTAAACTTATGCTATTAAGCTAAGCACTGCGTGGAATTGTGCTTCCTTTTCAGCTAAAATTTTCCGACTGAAACGCTAGTTTCTGATCAATGTACAAAATAAACGCCTGAATTGCATCACATCGGTTAAAACGCTATTAGTTTGTTCGGGATGCATAGTAAAAAATTCTGGAATGAAGTTTCCTGTAAAAAAAAATGCCGTCAAATTTTGAATATTATTCATACAATTTCGTACCACAATAGCATACTGCATATATTTCCTTTTATCATTTTAATTTAAAGTTAGTTTCTCAATTACATTTGATCGGATAATTGATTGTTTCATCACTGCGTGTTCGATCTTTTACTGCCGTTCTAACCCACCAAAATACTTTCGAAGTAAGCTGTTCAAATTTCGAATGTGAACCCCTATTTCCATAACACTGGTCTTGATGACAATCTTTTCACGCGTGTTAAAAGTGAACCACGCACTTTAGTCCTCACGTTAAGTTGAGGTTTTTCATCCTCCACGGTCTCGATTTTACGTGCTATTTCTTGAAAAGGAAAGTTGGTTTGGGACTGATTTATAGTCCTTTGCTTCGAAAAAGTCAGGAATTTGCTTACAAAAAAGCCAGCTTTCATTTGTTTAATGGGTTTTTCCTATTTTTTTGTTTCGAGATTATAAACAAGTGCTGTGCCGTCTGATTTGTTGTCGCCCGGGGTAACGCAGATCAGTCTGTTAGTATTGTTACGCAGTCAGCATCTTTTTGGTCTCATTCCAGGCACAACTGGAATTTGTAAGTGCTGAAATCGAAGGTAACACAACTCACGGGTTTTTTTTGTTGGGTTCAAGCACTCATGTACGTACTGCCTGCCACAATCTTCCATTTTAATGTTAATTTCTAATGTCTCCACAATCTTTCGTATGTTAATTTCTAGCGTATTTGTTGATTTTTTTTAAAGTTTTTCCGTTGGCGTAACGGAGCTGGAATTTCTCAGATTTGTTCTATTAGATTGTCAAGAATGAAATTTGCAAAAAAAAAGCCGAAGTTTGCTGAGGACTTATAATTATAAGAAACTGTTTTTTTTGTCAAAGTGTGCGCCCATATTGCTTGCACAGTTTTGCAATTTAAGTCTATGAATTCATGGAAAGCGAGTTTTACGGCATTATCGGAATTGAAATTTTTTCTTTTCAAGAAGTTGTGCAAATTGCGAAAGAAGTGGTAGTCAGTGGGAGCTAGATCAAGTGACTGTATTGCATGGTGAAGAAGTTCCAAGGCCAGTTGCTATAGTTTTTCCACGGTCATTTGAGCAGCATGTGGTCTGGCGTTATCTTTTAATGAGATAGGAGCCGATCTGTTGACCACTCTGGCTGTTTTTCTTTAAATTTTAGCATCGTTTGCCTACAGTATATTTCTGCTGGGATTGGTGAGCCTGGTTTCATGAAATTGTAACGAACCACATCAGCGCTATCACCAAACACTCAGCATCAGCTTCGTTTAATAAATGGTGATTCATTCTTGTACAACCATTTCTCGTCACGATTATTTGATTCAAAAATGGATCAGATTCGTGATGAGAGAGCAACATCAAAAAAGCTTCCAAACGATTTTGTTTCCGTTTTTCATTTCATGAGGAACACAATTATTTAACTTTTGCACTTTCTCTATTTGAACTTAATGATATAGTATTGTTAATTTGTTAACATCAAACTTTAATGATAATTCATAGGTACTTTCATTTGGTTCAGACTCAACAGTGAATTTTAGTACGTCATTATTAATCTTTGACTCTAGGCGACCGACTGGGTCAATTGTGAAGTCAAAGTTACTAATGTTAAATTTCGCAAACCAATTTAGTACCGTTGGCTGCTTATTTACACTACGACCAAATGCACTATTTATATTTCGCGCGGCCCGTGATGCCGTAGTTACACGTAAGAACTCGTACCTTATAACAGTACGAATTTCTCGCATAGCCGCCACTGTTAAAATTATTATCGCATTTTACATTCCAAGTTTTTTCATTTGCTACCCATATCGATGGTATTATTAAGAAAACATTTATTCACTAAGTCGTGACGTATACCACAATTCATTTAGAATGAACTCACTTTGTTTTTCATATTCTGTTCTCTAAGTCCTTTTATTATTAAGGAACCATTAATTCACCACGACGCAGTGTGCATTATATTTATTTTATAATTATGCTATTTCTAGGCAGATAGCATATCTTTGTTTACGGAATGTAGTGAAAAAAAGAAAATTTAATCACTTGTAATTTTGTGTAGGCATGAACGATTTTTTCCATTTTTGCGCGTTTCCTAAAGTAAACGTGAATAACGAACAAACATTAATACTTTTTTTGATACAAACACGGAATTGCGTTCAGTTTACGCTCCACTGCTTCTGTTTTGATCAATTTAGCGTATTTCCAATACCAATCTGCGCACAAAAGTTTTCAATGTTTCCAGCAAAGTTGAGGTGGATATCTTCATTTTTGCGACCAAGAGAATTTCAACAACAAATACCACACAGCCATACGGGCCAAAACACATGGTTTATTCAATTCAGAATTTCATGCTGATCAAAAATATGTACACTTTATAGAATCTCTGAAGCTTCCTTTTGAGTGTCACATAAACTATGAAGAAAAAAACGGAATGAGTACGTCACCATCCTACAGTGGTGGGTATAAAATTACGACGGTAAAATATTAAATCATTGTCAGATACCAAGCTGTTAAATTTCGTAAAAATGCAAACTACAAGTTTCATCTTTTCCAACCTAATGTATTGAGGACTTTTTGTTTAAATTTTGATGCTCTCAACTATCGCAGCTTCATGCGTACCTACTGATATCCCTAAGGTAAGGAAGAGCCCCTTACAGTCAAAAATGATTCTTAAATCAAATACTTTGGGACCGTTTTTACTTTGAAACATTTACTGCTTTTTTCCGAATGCATAGATGCTCAAACTAGCGCGATTCATTAATCACATTTGGAGTTCTCAACTCGAACGTAGTTAAACACTTTTTCGCTGTCAATAGAATATTCTAAACTGACGAAAGGGTGCCAGAAGGCAATAGACAGAAAACAAATACTGCTAAATCTAATGATATTTTGAAAAGTTTTGTCTATCCTCGCCCAAATGCTTGTTTTTTCAATGCATAAGCATTTACTTTGACAATTTATTTGTTAATATGTTTATTAGTAAACAGGTACACCATGTCATTTTAATCGTAATATAAAAGTAAATACAAAGTTCATTTTCACTTCTATCAAAAGGTATGTTAGATTTGCCGAATGTACCAAAAAAATTTAGATGTTGTTACATATGCTATCCCTCTTATGTTTGCTACAAAGTAATATATAAAGTAATGAATGAAAATCATTCCTGTTTTTTATTCCCTTTAAAGAGAAATTTGGCAGTCTTGTAAGTACATATGTCCTCATTTCGCACAGTTCTCTTTGAGGAAATCAAATTCGTTAAATTTTTAACTGAATTTGATCCGTTTGTTTGAGTGAAAAGCTTCCTGCGTGTTGTTTATTTTTCCTCAAGAATCTTATGTGTTAATATTCGTAAGCAGCATCTCAGCGTTAGAAATGTTTATTTTATTACTTTTCTAGCTGGGTAGCGATTACAGCTTACTACCACCTTTTTATGTCGAATTTTGCAATAAACATTTTTCGTCCTCTCTTTCTATG